AAAAAAAAAAAAAAAAAAAAAAAAAAAAAAATCTGTCAGTAGGTCCTCCAGGAGAATGTTCCGGATGTTCTCCCTCAATCTTGTAAGCAAATAATTAAATGTTTCCTGATAGATTTGTCGACAAACAGGAAGGTTAAGTAGTTCTCATAAAATTATATTGTCTACAATAATAATGTTTATTTAAAGAAACTTTGACTTTTCCGTGATTATTTTTTAGATTAGTTAATCTTACAAAATATCTTGTTTCTTATCTTTGGAGTTGGACACTGTGTAGAGATAGGCTTGGTAGCTAATGAACTGTCATTTGAATTATGCCTATTTAATACTAAAGAAGGGAATAAAAAGTAATTAAAAAGTAAAATACTAGTTCCTTACATCAAATATTTACTTTAACCTTTCTTAATATTATATGTTAAAGTAAAGTATGATTTGATACACTTAATTTTTCACCAAAGACTGGTACAAAGTTACAAAGTTACAGTTAGATAGGAAGGATAAGTTCTGGTGCTCTAGGGTGACAGTAGCTAGTAATATTGTATATTTCAAGATAGCCAGAAAGGAGGATCTTGAATTTTATAACCACAAACAAATGATAAATGTTTAGGTGATAGACATGCTAACTACTCTGATTAGATCATTATACAATATATGCATGTATTGAAACTATACCCATAAACATGTATAATGAAGAAAAAAATAAAATACAGAGTACTGATATGACAAAAGATAAAAAAAAAATCTTCACCAACATATTTTGAAATTGACTTTTGAAAATTATTTACCGTCACAAAAATTTAAATAAAGCTAAAACCTTGAGTATGCTTTTTTATTTGTGAGACAATAAAATAATCAAAGTATAATTGGATTTATTCAAATTAGTGACTTGCATGCATTTCACTACTCTATATAACTGCCTGCAAATGAATGGGGGGAACACAGTCAAATACTTTTTAGAAATAGAAATCAGGATTTATTACTGATTAAATTATTTTACATGTCTTAATCTTTTCTTCTAATACTCACTTTTATGGTCTTACAGGTAACTGACATCAACACTGTTCAAGTACCAAAAAAAAACCCCTTTATACTATTTTGCATGTTCTTTGTTTGTAGAAGTGAAAAATGTTTGAGTTCTATAAACACCAAAGTTTCAGGAAATAATCTGTTACTCTTTGGAAAAATTATTAAATTTTAAGATGGTTTCAGACCATTTTTCAAATTAATAAACAATAATTTACTTCAGGAAAAGAATGAATGAATATTATGGGTATGTATAATATAATAAAATAACTCTCTTCCTAACTTGCCTTTTTGGAAACTGTCTACTTCCTCTCCAACCCAACCCCCTTTATTCAAACAGACCAAAGAAGAAAGAGAGATTTCTGAAAAAGTTATATTTTTGCAGCAAGGAAGCTCTTCATTCCTTGAGTTTCAGGTAAAAAACAAAGGATTTTCCAAAAGGAATCACTCTTCAGACTTTAGTGTCATTATAATGTCATTAGTTTTTATTTTCCTTTTAAAATTTATCTTGGTATATAATTTTTACATAGATTCTGGGGAAGGGAAAAAGGAATTTTCTTAATATTTTAATTATCAGTTATGCATCATTTTTTATGGCTGCTTCCTAGATGATTCTATCTGTATGTTCTCATTGAAGCATTATGATTGTACTTTCTAATAATAATCTTATTGAAACTTTTTACTGCCTGTTTTTACCCGTAGAGTGGTACTAATTTAGATGACCTTGATTGATTTTGAAACTTCTGAACTTTTATTGGTTTTCCCACTAGCCGAGTGTGATAAAGAAAATGCAGGAAGGAGATTCTGCTGACTCTGTGGTTACTTCTCGTCAAATAATTTTCCAGAAAACTGTCCCATCGACCCTAGAGGTTATTTTTCTAATTCATTTTATTTAACCCAGCACTAGCATGTAGATCAATCTGTAATCATTTTTTTAAGGTACACACGTTTCTAGATGCAAGTTTTCAGGCTACAATAAAAACGAAAGTAGAAAATATCCTAGTTTAAAATGTAAACCAAAGCTCTCACCTGCTCCTGGTTCATTTCTCTTCTCTCTGTAATCTGTCGGTCTAGTCAGCTCTCCAGGCCCCTCCAATTAGGCCTCCCGACTACAAAGTTTTCTTAACTTTTATTTCTTCTGCTTTATTTGAACTAACACTAAGGAAAATGGGAAAGAAACTACTGAGACACAAGGAACTTCAGTTGTGTTAAGATTGGAACACTGTTCGGATCACTATGGCCTATTTATAAGGTCCTCCAACAGTGTCCTGTCAGTGAGAAATATTTCCTTATAATACACTGAACACAGGCACACTCAATATTTATTGGATAATAAGTGTTATAGAGGATTCAGTTCCCTATTTAAGGAAGTACAATTTACAAACATGGAAAATGGTATTTACAGAAGTTGGTACAATATTGGCAAATTCTTTGTGAGAACAACAGTAAATGAGGAATAGTATTATATTTAACACGAATAACTGTCCTTTTGCGTCCACACATGTAAAGCTGAATAACCTGTACAATGACTTCAACAGTGCCATTTAATATTGAAATATAAAATGATCAGTTTTTCTTAAGATCAAATATATTTCTTACAAATTATACCACCAAAGTATGCCCCTATTTAAAGAAATCTGCAACTGCAATTCTACCTGCAGAATGTATCCCAAGTTGAAGGTTACAGTTTATAGATTTCAGATGAGAGTAACTATAATTATTAGATAATAAAGCCAGCCCTGTGCAGTCCCATCACATATCTGTGTGTAGCTCTAGCCCTGATTTTCTTAAAGGATTCTTATTTTAGAAATGAAATACCATCAGATTTCTAATTTAGCTTTTATATTTCAAATATAGGGCACAGAGGATTGGGTTATTGTAGACAAAATACCCACTGAGGTAGTTGACGGTGATTTGAAAAAAGTTGTGACTTACAAGGTGGTGACCGTGAGCAGTAGAACTGGTGACATCCCAGCTGACTTATTAAAATCTAGTGCTATTGAAATGCATAGCTTCGAAGACTTGGCCCGAGAAATGCACCTGAAAGAAGAAAGCAAACAGAAAATATACACGCTAGGAAAATCCTACGACACTGTCTCCGGGAGAATTGTTACTATGACGGGGAAAGCTAAAGATGGGGAGAAGGTGCAGCCCTCTGCTCTGGAAGCTCTGCAGAGCCTGGAGAGAGGAACGTCGGGGGCAGCATCGCTGGTTCCAGGCCTGGCAGAATACGAGGTCCTGGAAGCCGTCGCTGATGAGAGATCCAAGAGAGGACCCGAGGTCCCGACGACAAAGCGGAAACTGTCAGAATCCCTGGCGCCCATCAAGGAAGCCGAGTCTCGGAGACAGAGTCCTGAAGAAGAAGACCCCAAGAAGACCCCAAAGCTGGGGACCGAGGTGGCTGTCCACCCTGGCCCGGAGAGCGAGGTCCTGAAAGTGGGACTCTTCGGTCCTCGCAGGAAGAGCCTGTCCGAGTGGAGATATTCCCAGGAACCGGCCTTCACCGTTGCTACTGCTCACTATGTCACCGAGTCGTCGGCGTCCCGAGTGGTGGTAACCAGTGGTCCCTGTGCGGCCGCAGCTTCCGATTCCAGCATGACGTTTTCTGAGGCAGTGCCCTTGCACCCCAGCCTTTCCGTTTCTCTTGCCGCTTGGCTTTATGTTGAGAGCAGCCAACCCAGCTTTTTGATTTTTTTCATGGTTAGATCAATACCGCAGTTCAAGGTCAGCATTAAGACACTTGGCCTTTTATTTCCAGCTCCCCGTCCCCACGATGTGGTAGTGCTGCTGTGGCTTGCAATGAAGGGGAAAATGATCTGCTTAAGTCGGCGCCACCCTATCCTAGTAACTGTGTCTGCTTTTCCAAACAAGAGCTCATGGTCACCCCGATTTGCTATTTTATTTCCCGTTCTTTTCCGTTTCCAAACTCCGTATCTTAGATTCCTTCATTCCTCCTCCCTTTCTCCTCTGCCTCCACTTTTGTCTCACAAGCTGCGAATGTGTATGTGCCCGAGTAGCCTCTCTTGTGCTTGACTCCACCTTTCTTTGTTCACTCAGACTAAGCAGCCCTCTGGCGAAAAGCTCATGGATGGCTCTGAAATCTTCAGTTTATTAGACTCTGCGCGAAAACCAACAGAATTCATAGGAGGGGTCACTTCTGCTTCTCAAAGCTGGGTTCAGGTGGCCACTTGCTTCCATCCCTGGTGTTTCTGGATGTGCCCATCTGCCTTTCTTTTACACCTTTTGGGGTGGAAGGGGAATAGAGAGAGAGAGTGAGTGAGTGTATGTGTGTGTGAGTGAGTGTATGTGTGTGTGAGTTTTGCATGCAAGTGGCTTTGCCTTCTACACCTCAAAGGTGTCAGTAGTTACTGTCCTTTGTGCCTGCTTGACGCATCCGTCATGTGCCTTTAGTTCCATTTCAAGAATGTACTTCATATGTTCAAAGGGCAATATTGAGAAATTTTAATAGCATTTAATTTTTAAAAGCATTTAATCTCACCTGTTGGGTCTAAGAAAGCAACCAAAGCCAATGTGAATGTGCTGCAATGCTTTCAACTTTTGTGTTTTTAAGTGCATGTACTGATTTTTTTTTCTGATTTTTTTCTGGACATCCTGAAGTAGCCGCACAGGTGGGAGTGTGTGGGGCAGGGGCTGGGACCCACATCAAGGATGCTGGTGGGAGGAACGAAAGCTAATTTATATTTTCTGTCAGTGTGTCCAGTTGTAAGCACCTGATGCTTACTTTAGGCATCCTGGTGAGTGGTGGCTTTAGGTTTTCTTTTTCTTTCTTTCTTTCTTTTTTTTTTTCCTTTTTTGCTTGGGCCTCTCATTTGTGGAAACTCACACTGACACCACAGTCTTTTCCCATGCAGAAAATGGAAACCAAGACAGAGTCCAAGGAAACAGAGCCGGAACCCAGCCCGCACCCCCAGCCACTCAGCACGGAGAAGGTGGTGCAGGAAACCGTGCTGGTCGAGGAGAGGCGTGTGGGGAGGGTGCACGCCAGCGGGGACGCTTCCTCGGTGGCCGGGGACGACGTGGACGCTGCAGCACAGCCCATGCCTGCCGATGCTTCTAGCGTTAAAGGGAAGGAGGACTCTGCTGTGACTGAGGGGGCTAAGGAGGAAAGAGGGAAGGAGGCCGACAAAGCTGCACTGGAACAGGAAGGGACAGCCATTGCTTCCCACGAGCGGCAGGAGGAGCAGACTGCAGTGGTCCACGTTTCTGAGACTTTGGAACAGAAACCTCATTTTGAGGTAACTAGTAGTTAAGGTTACTTTTAGCAGTTAAAGTAAAACTGCTACATGATGCCCTGAAATTCAGATCAGCATAATGGTGGAGCTAAGTTTCATTTTCTACCTTTTCCACATGCAGTTTCTTCCCCCTTGTATTTTCTTCTTGTGTGGCAATTAGGAGTCTCCATGCTGGTTTCCAGCTTTTGGGTCACATGCAGACTTACCTATTGGTTATTAATAATGTATAGTTCTAGGAAGTGGTTTCTGCTCTCATTGAAATTATGGTAGTTGGCAGTAAACCTGGGGAATGCATGGTTGGCCAAGATATTAGAAAATTTGATAAATGTATTTCTGATCAGCATACTTAGCCAGAAGAACCAAAAACCATGCCTGCTGAGGTGCTAAGTGCCAGAACTTTCTTCTTTGTCCTCTTTATTGAGATTCCTGAAGTATTTGGAGGGTTAAAGTCTTATTACTTCTTTCTAAAAAGTTATCAAGTAAAAGGCTTATGTGTGGGTTTTGATCTATTAAGGTTGGTTTATGATGTAGAGAAGGGGGAACATAAAAATGTTTTCTTAAATTTCCTTTAGCCTAGAGCATCCATATAAAAAATGCAATGGAATTCTGGGAGACCGTTTTACATATATCTGTTGTGTGCCTCATTCCCCCACTTACTCCACATGTAATATGTAAATATTTATGTTAACCTGTGCTTATATCAAGTACCAAAGAATACTACAAAGAAAAAAAAAATTGTGTGTTTGTGCAAACCGTAATAGCCACTCTAATTACTTCCCACTGGCACAGTCATCAACTGTGAAGATGGAAACCATCAGTTTTGGCAGTGTTTCACCAGGAGGAGTAAAGCTAGAAATTTCTACCAAGGAAGTGCCAGTAGTTCACACTGAAACAAAAACCATCACATATGAATCATCACAGGTAAGACAGTCAATGAAAACCAGAGCCCTGACATTTTATGTTTTACCTCCTTTCATGGTTTAGTGTGTTTAAGTATAACTATACAATATTTCATTCATGAGACGTAGAGCATCCAGCAGGCAGACTGTTTCTATCAAGAGCGATGCAGTAATTTTAATTTTATGACTGATTGTAAAGCGGCAGCTGACTTAACCAGGCCTTTATATATCTTGAAATATAGAAACAGGCTCAGAAACCTATTCCCCTAGCCAGAAACAAGGAAAAATATTCACTCAGCCATCCATTGCTCACATTTCTAAAGTTTCAATTTTTTAATGGCAGTTGAGAGTCATGCTTAGTTCTTCCTCTTGGCAGCAGCTCCTGGACTCTGAACAGCACGGTAAATGTGGGAGATAATTATATCATCTTAATACCCCTATTAACATAGCAGACTTCTGAAGAGGAAATGTAAACACCTGGGCGTGGTGTCTGTTCCTGTGCTTGCTTAGGTTGATCCTGGGGCTGATCTGGAGCCGGGCGTGCTGATGAGTGCACAGACGATCACATCTGAAACCACTAGTACCACCACCACCACCCACATCACCAAAGTAAGTGGAGCGGGAGCTTCTGTCTTTACGATACGTTTGTCCCCATGTGCTAGTTTCTGTTTAGGAATAAACACCTCGACATCCTATGTTTAACACATACTGCGGCACTTGGCATGTAGTAAGTGTTCCAGAAACACTTGCCAGCCAAATCCAAAGGACTGCACTCTGTCCTCCCTTATGAAATTAAGAATGTTAAATGATGGCCATGGAATTCTATTTTGATTATCTGTCAGCATTTTCTGCCATTTCCCCCCCATTGAACAATGATTGTTCCCCCCAGTGGGTAAATTCATAAAGCTTCTCTTTGTTTCTTTCAGACTGTGAAAGGAGGCATATCAGAGACAAGAATTGAGAAGCGGATAGTCATCACAGGAGATGCAGACATTGACCATGACCAGGTAGTATGTGTGACATGATAAATACCCTGGCAGAGAAACAGAACCACAGGTTGGCCCTACGATTCCCAGTACTATTCTTCTGGTCCAGCACGTATTCTAAAAAATTTTCTGAATTAACTTTCCCATATGTGATTCACAATTCCTTTTGTAATCATTGTACCTCATTTGTAAATTGTGGATTTAGATCTAGCTCATAAGTCTCCACCTTGCCACTGATCATGCATGTTCCACCTCCTTTTTGTTTTTGTCCTTCTGTGATTTCCTGGGGATAGGCGCTGGCTCAGGCAATTAAAGAGGCCAAAGAGCAGCACCCTGACATGTCAGTGACCAAAGTAGTGGTCCATAAAGAGACCGAGATTACGCCAGAAGATGGAGAGGATTGACCAGAGGTAAGAGGTGACACTGATTCTCTAGCCTTGGCCTGGGCTGGCATGTAGCATGGGACACTTTCCCCTCGTCCTTTACCTGCTCCCTCCTTTCCTTTCTCTCTCGTTGGCATTTTTCAGGCTGGTTACCAAGAGGATAGAGAATTGGTTGTGGCTGCCAGCTTGTCTCACATTTGGAGGTTCCGTACTTGGGGATTTTTGCATATATTTTTTCCATACTTGCCGATTTTTGCATATTCTTGCCAGTGAGAAGATAAAGGAAAAGCAGTCTTTGCTTGAGTGGTCTCGCTGTTTCCTTTTAATCCACACCCCGCACTCTTTACATTATCCGAATTTGAAATGTCAAATTTGATTTCACTTGCCATGTGGCCTAATCAGAACTAAAGCAGTTTTGTTCTGAGTATGCAATTTGTGTGTTCTAAATACTAGGGAAATAAAATATACCCCTTTCTCCTTTTGATGGCTACATTATCCCATTGTAAGCTTTCTCTTCAAGTATGTTTGGTTAGAGCCTGTTTATGCTTTGGGTTTTAGTTTCGTTTTGTTTTTTAGTTTGTAACCTGAGCACTCACTTTCTTTTTGGATGTTTTATATCTCCTGTATTCCCTGGGATGATGTTTCTCCCTAGTGTCTCAGGAGGAGGCAAAAATGCAGTCGTGGGGTCCTGGTTTCCTCCAGAGAGCGCATGCCTTTCCACGTGCTGTTTGGCCCTCATCATGAGCAGACCTTGTCCTGTATGTGTGCACAAGTTTGCCATGCATACTATCCTGCAAGAACTCATGGGGCCTGCATCCTGGAGGGCTTTGAATGCAGAATGCACTAGTTAAGATACTTGACCACTTGCTGATGTGATAAAAACCATTAAGAGACTTAAGAAATAAGTTCTCTAACATTGGTTTAAGAAACATAAATTGATTAGTAGCATCTCTTAAAACAAATATAAAAATCTAATTATATTCACATTAATAACATTTTGGATGATGGAAAGCAAACAGATTTTCTTCAGTGAGCTTCAGCCACTTGGGTGATGTTGTAATTATTCAAGAGAAAGCATGCCCTCAGCAGTGACTTTTGCTGGAATGTTGCAGTATCTTGTCAAAAGGCCATTTTAACCTCCAAGATAATTTTTTGTGACTTGGATCTGAGAAAAACTCTCAGATATTTTCAAATGAGAAACTAATCAAATCTCTTTTCTACAGGAATAATTTAGATTGCACATGAATCCAGTCATCCAAACCATTAGGAAAACCAGAGCCTAAATGGAGTTCCCTCTTCTAACCCAACTGACTTGTCCGTGGAAAATTTCAATCCAGAAGAATTGACCTTGACCATTAATAAAGACACTGGCAGAGAGATCTTCCCATAATAAAGCAATCAAATCAGCATCACTAAACTGATATTTCATGAAGCAACAATAAGATTACAAAAGAGCAGCATTTTTAATTTTCACAAAATGTCTAAGTTTTCAGCTATACTTGCACGTTCATAACTGACAATATAAACCGTGATCTCATGTAACACATAAACAATTCATGCCTTTCGTAGTTTATTATTATTGAAGTCTGAACAAAATTGCAGTTTCTTAGGTGACATATCTTTTGTTTACAAATAAATGAAGATTACCCTAAAATGCTAGAAGCTGTCTAGGTCTGGTGTGTCAGGTTTATCCCAGATTAGATGTGCCAATAACCACTTTTATTCAGAAAGTAACTTATATCTTGTACTTGTTTCATCTGGTTTTATTACTCTCACCCATAAACAATAATGACTCTCTGACCCTCTGGAAATATTTAATGCTTACGATATTGCTTTGTGTATCTAATTTAATTCGTTATAAGGTAGTACTAATTTTAGCATATTAATGTGATTTCTTCCTTGTGTCCACTCTGGTCTGTGTTCATTCAATCTGGAAAGCTTCCCAGAGCTCCCTAACAAGTCCTAAATATGTAAATTGTCATTATTTGGGAAGAAAACCTGTATTTTTGTTAGTTTACAATATTATGAAATTTCACTCCGGGAAAACCTGTTGGGCTTCTGTTGCATTGGTTTTTCTTCATTTCTTTTTCCTTGTATTTTTTTTAATTGATTTTCTTCTTTTACTTGAAAAAAAAGTGTTTTATTTCCAAATCTGGTCCATATTTACAATCTAGTTCAGAGCCAAGCCTTAAACTGTACAGAATTTCCGCTGTAATTAAAACTATTTAGTGTTTAGTTATAAATAGCCTTCAAAAATATATATTCTCCATTGCACTGTCAGCTGCATCACAGCCCATGGTGAATGTATGTTTCTGCTTAGCAAAATAAAAATGGCAAATGCATTGAAACCACTCATTTTCTATGTTTAATCATTTCAGTATTGTATGTGTTTAGCCCAGAGGTAACATTTGCATGACATCAGAGGCTTCATTCATCTACTTGTAGACATATTTTGTCTTTACAGGATTAAAAAACAGTGTATACAGTATAAAGTGTTTGGACTCTTTGAGGGATTGGAGATGGGATCAAAATGCACATATGTAAATGCTTGGTCGCCTATGAAAGCTTTAAATACATATAGAATCTTATTTTCAAAGTTTTGTTTTATTATAAAAGAGGCTTTGCTATAAAAACCCAGTGTTTCTGGGTGCTTTTAATCTACCAAAGAGACACCTCTCTCTCAGACATCAGCTCTGTAGCTAAACCAGTCAAACGGTGTATTCTACAAAGGTCCATGCAGCCTATTTCCGCAGCCCATTCATTTCAAATTCCTCTCACGCCAGGGACTAAGACTAAGATTTAGTTACCAGCTGCCAACCTAGTGCCTGTCCTTGCTGGCATTTCCTGCTGTGTCATACTTTACTTAAATTTCTGATCTAGAAAAAAAATATATATATATATATTCTGATTTAAAAAAAAAAACTTTCAGAAAATTACTAGATTTGGCCACATATCTTGGTCTTATTGAGGGAGTCAAATTTCTGTTGTTTATCTCTGAAGGAGTATCAACTTGTCCTTACTGTCAACAATATTAAGTATTCATTTTAGAAAATGAAGCATCGGGCCGGCCCGGTGGCGCACTGCGCTAATGCGCCACTTGGGAGGCGCGGAGGCGCTCCCGCCGAGGGTTCGGATCCCACATACAGACCGGTTCCTGCTCACTGGCTGAGCGAGGCGCGGGGGCAGCACTGAGGGTTGCGATCCCGTTGCCGGTCCCGGTCCAGTGCGGGGGCGACACTGAGGGTTGCGATCCGTTGCCGGACACGGAAAAAGACAAAAAAATTTTTAAAAATAAAAAAAAAAAAAAAAAAAGAAAATGAAGCATCATTTTAATTGTGTTTGTGGCCAATCAAAGATATGTTCAGAAAAATTAGCACTTTATTTGTATGAAAACAGTAAGTGATGTCCCAAGGATGCCCACACCAGGATATGCTTAGTTTGTGTCCATCACGTTGTACTCACATTAGCTATTTTAAACCAAACCTAGTGTTTTTATGTTTATGTCTCAGTAATAAATACTCGTAAATTTTTGTAAAATTATATGTTATCGAGGAAGTTATATATTTTCATCATTCTTTTCCTTCTTTATTAAGCTGCTTAAAATTCTTTCAGCCTTCATTCACTGCCTGTAGTTCACTCCTAGTACCAAAATCTATATCTGTTTTTTATTGTTGCGTGACAAATTACCACAAATTAGCAGCTAAAACAAACACATTTATCATCTCACAGTTTCTATGGGTCAGGAATCCAGGCTTGGTTTTGCTAAGTCCTCTATAAGGCTGCAGTCAAGGTGTTGGCTGCAGCTGGGGTCTCATCTGGGAGCTGGGCTGGGGAAGGATCCTCTTCCACGCTCTCTCAGGTTGCTGGTAGGATTCATTTCCTTGTGTTTGTAGGATGCTTGGCAGCTTCTTCAAAGCCAGAAGGGAGAGACCAGAGTGTGTCTGCTGGAAAGACAATGTCTTATACTGTGACGTGATGTAATCAAGGGAGTGGCTTCCCAGCACCTCTGCCACATTCAGCTGATAAGTCACAAGTCTTGGCTCCTGCCCACAGCATCAACAGGTTTAAAATTTAGATTTAGAGATTAATCACTCTCTAACATTCACTAATCTAATAGTTTTAAAGCTAGATTTCAGTAATGTATAAAAGTGGCTTACACTTGTTAAACATGATGGTAATCCCAATGTTTTGCTTAACCATTACTAGTAATAGTATGGAAAAAACAAACAGAATTACACTTTCGAAAACTGAAGAATTCCTCTTCAGGTAGCTACTTGCCTTACAGAAAAGAAAAGCTCGCTTCTCAGTTTACTCTAAGATTCAGGTCCAGGCTGGTAAGAAAACAATGATTTACAGTTCTCTCAGATAAGCAGAAAAACAAACAGCAACCATGAAGGCATTGTGGTCCAGCCCCTTGATAACCCAAAGCTCCACGGTAGTCACACAAGGATCTGCAGAAGCTTTAGCTATGGTGTAACTAAGCTTAAAAGAAATATACATATTTTCTCTGGACTCACAGAGTGAATTGCTAAGGCCAGAGAGCAGCTTTGTTCAGGTCGGATGCTCCAGTGGAGCTGGAGTGGAGTTCAGCCTGGGCAGCGAGGCTCAGCTTGTGCGGTGGTGGCCCGTCCTGCTACGGCGCCGGGATTAGCAAGTGGAGCCACACTGATGCGGATCCATTGCTGCAGCCGGAGAAATGAGGGCCACGCTCAGAATGTGCAGATTTCACTTTCCCAGGAGAATTCCTCATTCCCTTCTAGTCTACATTCCTTTGAAATTTCACAGAGGTGCCATGTCTCTTCTCTTGGGCACAGTGAATTAGGGCACCTTGTAGGATTGCTGAGCCCCTTTTTTTAAACAATTGCTATAACCCATTTCCTTCATTATATCAATTTCTTCCTAGCACATTGATTGCTCTGTTAAGTCAGCATCAACCATAACTATTTTTAAAAAATCAACACAGTCTAGAACTTGAATCCAAAATTGTTTCTAACTTACAAACAGGGTTTATATATATCTCTCTCCCATGAAATGCTTTTTTAAAAAATCTTTCTCACTACATTAAATTAACCAGTATAAAAAGTGTCTGTCTTGGATTGCCGTAGAGGCAGCCTTGTATTTTAATGGGCATTTACCTTCGAAGTAAAATTGGATTATTTCATTTTTAAAAAATACATTTTTGTGGTAGGCCATCAGTGTATGTAAATTGTATTCTCAGAAGTATTTTGACCAACAGTTTCTTATCAGAGCTGTTTAACTCTGAGGAAGGGTGACAGAGGAGCTGATGCTCTCCCACGAGAGTGGTTATTAACATGCACACACACACGGGCATGCTCTGCTCCAGAATGGGGGTGTGGGCAGCAGAAAGGCTGGCACCACAGGGTTATGACCTGTCTTACCTCACTCCATGGTTGCCTGCCACACTCTTTCCACCTGTCTTCAATACTGAAAGTTGCACGGACACTAAAGGACATCTAACTTGCTAATGAGGTCAACCTAAGAGCAAACCTTACATAGAAGTAGCTATGTATAAAAACTTATTCATGGGGCCGGCCCGCAAACCTTACATAGAAGTAGCTATGTATAAAAACTTATTCATGGGGCCGGCCCGGTGGCGCACTGGATAAGTGCGCCGCTTGGGAAGCGCGGCGGTGCTCCCGCCGAGGGTTCAGATCCCACATCCAGACCGGTTCCCGCTCACTGGCTGAGCGAGGCGCGAGAGCAACACCGAGGGTTGCGATCCTGTTGCCGGTCCCGGTCTGGTACGGGGGCGACACTGAGGGTTGCGATCCATTGCCGGACACGGAAAAAAGACAAAAAAAAAAAACTTATTCATATGGGTGTTCTAGTCATCCTGTCATATGGGCCAGAAACCTAGGAGGAGACTTTCACACCACTGTCTCCTCACCCCTTATTTCCCAGGTCTGCCAATTATATTTCTTCACTGTCTCTTAAATCTAACCATGATGCTATACCTAGACTATTCCAACAGCCTGCCGACTACTTTTCCCACATTTCCCATCTCACATCATCCCCAATCCCTTACACAATGGCTTGCAATCTTTTAAGAAATACAAATCTAATCCCATTACTCCTGTGCTTAAAATGCATTTCTGGCTTTCCCTTGCTCCTAGTGCAAAGGCCTCAATTCTTGGAACAAGGTCTGAAGCCTTGCATGGGCTGGCTCCGACCCACTTGCTTTTCCAGCCATACATCCAACAACGTATCCTCTGACTCCCCAATCCCTTTCCCCTACTACAGCTCTGTTTAAGTACTGAAACCGTACCCAACCCCAATTTTGCTTTAGATCTGAGCTAAAATATTCCTTTCCTGATTTTACTGATCAACTTTCCCCGTTATACACTCTTAACAACATTTTCTGATAGAGCATGTCCTGGTTCTTTGAACGGATCTCTTCTGGATCCCCTGGTCTTACAGGTAGCCCACCTCCAAGCACAGTACCTGGCTAACAGAGAGGGCCTCAATATTTGCTTGCATGAATGAACATATTGATAAAAGTTTCTTAGCTAAGATAAATTTGAAACATCAATTTTTCTGAATTTTCTCTGAGGCCCAGCAAGCGTGGGGGAGTGGTTCCTGATGGAGACAGTTTCTATTTCAGATTCCTCATCAGCTCCATAGCCATTATCATTTTTTTTAAAGGCAGACCTACTCAAGAATTTAAATTTGTCATTTATGGTATTTTACTAATTTTAAAGAACTTTTGGGGGTTTTTCAATTGAAACATAGTTGATTGTACATATCTGTGGGGTACAGCATTGAATATCAATACCTGTGTGCAATATGTGATGTTCAAATCAGGATAATTAGTATACTCAACATTATACAGTGTGATTGTTTTTCATGGCCCTTTACCAATTCCTCCCTTACTCTTCTCCCCCTCCCCCCATCTCTGGTAACCTCAGTTCTGTTCTCTCCTTTTCAAAGTTTAACGTATTATTGTGATTATTGTATCTTTATAAATTTTTTAAGCTCCCACTTACAAGTGAAGACATGCAGTATTTCTCTTTCTGTGCCTGGCTTATTTCACTTAACATAATTTTCTCCAAGTTCACCCATGTTGCTGCAAATGGCAAAATTTTATTCTTTTTTATGGAAGAATAATATTCCATTGTGTATATATACCAGATTTTCCTTATCTGGTCATCCATTGATGGACATTTAGGTTGGTTCCAACTCTTGGCTATTGTAAACAGGGTTGTGATAAGCATGGGAGTGCAGGTGTCTCGTCAACATGATGATTTCCATTCCTTTGAGTATATATACCCAGCAGTGGAATTGCGGGATCATATGGCAGTTCTATCTGTGGTTGTCTGAAGAACCCCATACC